CAGAGGGGAGGTAGGTATGTGATGATGCAGAGGGGAGGTAGGTATGTGATGATGCAGAGGGGAGGTAGGTATGTGATGATGCAGAGGGGAGGTAGGTATGTGATGACGCGAGGGGGTAGGTATGTGATGATGCAGAGGGGAGGTAGGTATGTGATGACGCGAGGGGGTAGGTATGTGATGATGCAGAGGGGAGGTAGGTATGTGATGATGCAGAGGGGAGGTAGGTATGTGATGACGCGAGGGGGTAGGTATGTGGTGATGCATAGGGGAGGTAGGTATGTGATGACGCGAGGGGGTAGGTATGTGATGATGCAGAGGGGAGGTAGGTATGTGATGACGCAGAGAGGGGAGGTAGGTATGTGATGACGCAGAGAGGGGAGGTAGGTATGTGATGACGCAGAGAGGGGAGGTAGGGACGTGGTGACGCAGAGTGGAGGTAGGGACGTGATGACGCAGAGAGGGGAGGTAGGGACGTGGTGACGCAGAGTGGAGGTAGGGACGTCATGACACAGAAGGGAGGTAGGGAGGCTGTGATGCATGGGGAAAGTGGTGATATGATTATGCGAAGGGAAGGTAGGGACGAGAGTTGATGTGGGTGCTACTGGCAGACGTGCACTGGCTGATGGTTTGGTAGTGGGTGTACAGAAGTCCTGGCATAGGCTTGCACAGGATAGCACGGCATATTTTTCCAACAGTTTGTTGCATTATTCTGATGATGACATACTCATCGAAGTTAACTGAATTGGGTTTTACACGAAAGTCGCGTTTGTGGATCATGTCTCTTCATGATCATTGTTGTATGTGAGTTGTCTGGTGTTGCGTTTCACATGTGCACAGTGCACAGTGATATTCTATTCCACAATGTGTGACAACTAGTATTACATTGGGGTGACAAAATTTGAGAATTGTATCTTCCCTAAAACATATCACACTACATGCTCGCACTGTAGTGATATTTCTGGCTTCAGCTTTGGGGTGACTTAAGATTAAATGTTTTGCAACACCTAAAGTGAAATGCATTCCCATACTGTGTGTGAATCTTTGTGTGCATAGTATTAATATTAATGCGGTGCGAAAGACATTTGATTGCTATGTCATATCTCCAGTTTCGTTATTTTTACTTTCCCATTCGCTGCATTAAAGAAGTAAACACACTGAACCCCATGCATACACATTTTTCTCTGCGTACTTACAATTCTTTTTGGAATTGATATGAGAAACTGAGAGGATTTGTTGTGGATTTGTAAATAGTAATGTAGCTTTATACTAGTTATTGCGAATTTAATTTGTGCAGTTTGTGAGAGCAACTCCATGTGATAAATTCTAAACTCTCAACCCTGTTTATGATATGGGGTATATGCTCGACTTTTTTGCAAACGCGTAGGCACTTTCCACGTCTTCATAGAAGTTGCGCTATACTTCTAATGTGGCTCATCTGTGCTGTGGTAGAAAGAATGCTTGTATAAAATCGTGCGAGTTATCTCGTTTTGACTGTTAACGCGTAGCTACTGTTTACGTAGTTCTGTACGGTGCTGATCATGAAAAAAATTCATACTGGAATTGCACCGTCTAATATTTTTGTTGCTTGACGTCACAAGCTTTAATGTTCGTCTACAGTTGTTGCAACAATTGCAGTTCTGAAATGCGTTAGTCGAACGATTTTATGTGGAGCTGACTGTTTTTATTTCTCTGTTGAGAAATGGTACACTGATGGTGGCATCTGTGGATATTCTAGTCCTTTGTAGCTGGAAGGCGATCGTCAATTATGTACACACGTTCAACTACACAATCTCTTTTCATGTGTCATCGGGATACGGGAAAATTCTGTGAATGTTGTCTCCCCTGTTTCTAGTGTACATATTTATATTATATATATATATATATATATATATACACATATATAAAATTATATAATAACATTTCTTAATATATCTATTAATTTTTAAATATTTAATAATCATTTGTTAAAATTAATGAAGGTCTATCTATAATCAATCGTAAAACTAAATGAATGAATGTGTATCTGTTGCAGGATGTGAGTGACAGAATAGAGAAAGAGCCGTATGATAGTGAGATAGTCGTGCGACTGGAACGAGGTGCTTGTTTCATCGTTAAGAAAGACTGGAAAACCCATATCAGCTTCCCTCTGCAAAATGGTAAAGGGTACCTTGGTTGGGGAAATGGCCCCCATTTATATGTATACTCTGGCACAATCAAATTGTTTACAGGTTTTGGTGGCCAATTAATTGTCAGTATACATAGAGAATTGAAATGTATTTATTTCTATTTGTATGTTTCATTTATGGGAAAACATTATATGTTATCATGATGTCATGACAGATTATATACTGTCAGTGAATTATATAGGATAATTCCAGTATTTCCCAATACCAGGTAAAGAGAACCAGCAACACAGACGTGTTACTTATTTGATTCAGATCTGAAGAAATACCGTTCATACAAAGGTACATCTGTGAGGGATTTGCTACGAGCAATGCGCAATAAGGTATGCTACTGTTTCTGCTCATCTCATACGATTCCTTATTGTTTCCGACTTCTCACCTATGATATTCATAGCTCACCCACTTGAAACATCTTTAAAAACGCTGAACAAACTGGACCGAGACGCCGTCATTCAAGTCTCGTAATATTTACTCAACCAAAATTCATCCGATCGTTGAGTACAAAATCGTCGATTAACCTCCGCCGTTGCACGCTGAAAAAGTGGCTACTCACCGATCGCGTTGTGCCGTCGTCGCACGAGTCAAGCCGGGGATCTTTCGCCGAGCTCTATGTCGATGTTCACCCTTCTTCTCAATGTTCTCTGCAGAAGCACCACTACCGGGAGCTCGCGCCGGAGGTGCAGGAGACGCTCGGCAGCGTGCCCGACCACTTTGTGCACTACTTTACGTCGCGCTTTCCCGCGCTGCTCTCGCACGCGTACGGCGCGCTCAAGTGCTGTCGCCTGGAGCGCGTCTTCCAGCAGTATTACCCGTACTCTGACACGTAGCCGATGCGCTCGTCCGGAGACCGTGTTGTGCGATGCCGTGACTCACGCATCTGTTCATAGCTTATTAATTCATGTTCCACTGCGGACCAGTATATTCTCATGTGGATGATGGTTTGTACTGTGCTGTGTCCTGTTTTATAATTTGGAATATTGGGTGGTTGGAATAAATAATCCAAATATATTTATAATATAATTCGACGTGTATGTTCACTTTTCGTTTACCTTGTACGTACATGCGCACCTGTGTAGAATATCATTAGTGTAGGTCAATGCAATGTATGTATTATATGGCTTAGAATGACTTAGTGACATCGTTTGCACACAACCTACTCATTGTGACTCAAGGTTAAATCGGGTTTGATGAAGGTTTTATTATGTTGATTCGTTTGCCTATTTTAAGCGCATAAAATATCATTACTGACTTTCACATGCGTACACACGCATATGGGGTTGGAAATTGACAGAGTTCAGCTTTATCTGAGTTAGTTGATGTAGGTTCTGACTTTTCATTTCCACTGGCTCGATATATATATCACCTCTCTTCTTGCAACGCCCAACTCAAATAAGACATTTATTGCTTCATATATTCGTTAAAGACAATCTAAGTATTTTTTGTTTATGTATATGGCACAGGATTTACTAAGGCTGTAAGATCTAACCGGACCTTAGCTAACGGGGGGGGGGGGCAGTTGCCCATCACGACCTTAGCATCAAGGCAAACACCAGACATATAATTCACTGCCCAGAACACAAACCGCACCTGGCGAAGAAAGACTAGAAAGAAGGCACTCGGGGAGTGCGAATCCTCAACACACGCGATCACTACACGTGTGATATCAGAACGCTATTCTACAGCGCAGTGAAATAAATCGATATTAGAACACACTCTGCCACACACAACACACCTGGAAATACCGCTTGGAGCCCCGCCCCGCGTTAACAATGGTATGGTCCTTCTGAGATGACCCAGCGAACTGAGATGAACCTCAGAATCAATAGGATTCTACCGCCCCATAAGATGTACCGGTGGACCAAGTTTGAAATTCCTAACTCTTGCGGTTGCAAAGATATCGAGCGGACAGACGCACACACACACGCATGAACGCACGCACGCACGCACGCCCCCCCTCCACACACACACACACACACACACACACACACACACACACACACACACCCCCACACACACACGCGCGCGCGCGCGCGCGCGCGAGCCAAATACAATACCCTCCGCTACACTTCGTGCGGAGGATAATGAGTTGGTTACATAACTTACATTATGCCTGCCTACCAAACATTCAAGAATCAGATGTGGTTTGAATAAGACATAGCTACCTATATTTCTCGTGTCTTCCCGCATGTTCTTCTACACATCATTGCTCATATCTAACGATGTCTTAACGATGTCTTGCATGCGTTATGTCTAATTTTTGACAAAAAAGCGTGCTCCTCCTGTTTGTTTAAACATGATTATATGTTTGCTAATTGTGCCGGTTGTTGGCATTGAAAACGATGGGTAGATTGGAATGGAAAGAAATTGGAATGTTAACAGTTTGACTCTCTACATTACGTATTTAGCTAAGAAAATTGGTTACAAGCGGAGCTGTAGTACAGTGATGACATTGTGGCCACCGCGAGGCGGTTATAGGGTTATTCGTACGTGTAAAAAGAGAGCAGATATCATGTCTCAGGAGCCTATTGAATGTTGTGGAATGTAATACCACGCAATTTTACTGTCGTTTGTTGTGTAAAGTATTTTCAGAGAGCTTAATTACTAAGTCTAAAATCACACATGCACGCGCAGTTGTGCATTTACGGAATACGAAGCTTTAACTAAGTTTAAATTGATGAACTACATTAGCAATCATACACTGTAAATTGTTTAGCTGACGTGGAAACTTATTTATTGTCCCTTTCCGAACGCCCCTGGATCACATGCAGTATTAATTCTCCATCAGAAAACAGTCTGCAGTTGTGAACCATATTATTATTACGTTTCTGCTTAATTTCCATCAGCACAGCATTGTTTTGTATAACGTTACATTGCACTCAGAAGTACATAATCACACAATTATAATTGTATTTATAAATTATATGTATTAGCCTACTGATCCAGATTTAATAACATACACCCAACTGTAACGTACATGACAACACACGAGTCAGAGGTCATTTGATGGCAGCACACGGGTCATAGGCCATGCCAAGATAGTACACAGTTCAGAGCTCAGTCTATGACGATGTATGGACGAGGTCACTTTAGCTAGGATAGTAAACGAGACGGATGTCACTCTATATGATAGTATACAGATCAGAGTTAATTGTCATAACAATTCCTCCCCCCCTCCCTCTGCCTCTCACAATATGCGTCAAGCCTAAAGTTCAGAGTCAAGTCTGTGTATCGGCCTCAGGATAGAACCAGAATTGAATAGTGCTAACATATTTAAGCACATGTAATACAGTCGCCTCCCTGTGATCACGGACAACAATGCTTACAAAGCGCGTTCTTCACTCGAGCCGTACAGAAACCCGGCGATTCAGTTTAGTACATCAACCCTATGCGAAATGGACTATATTTTTTTCAGTAAAATACACAAAACAATCATTTTTTATCATATTATGGTTTACCTTTAGGTATTTTATCAAAAATTTGCGAAAAAAGCGTGGCCTAATCGTGACGTAGATTTGGGTATCTGTGTGCATATAGTTGAAAAATAACACATGCAGATAGCTACACATTACTTTAACATACATATTTTTTGGCCTTGGCATAAGCTTTAATTAACGTACGTACTCTATACTCTACACAAGACCCCTTACGTAAGAGGGATCCATTGACTGTATTTTGGACATCGTGCCATTGAGATATTTACATTTCTAGAGAAATATTTATCTTAATAAATGTTTTCTACTATCGACCAAATATGAATATATACCTTAAGAATTACAAGTTGTGCATTAAATCGCACACGAGTAGACGTAAAACACGCACACTAATGATAAGTAGGAGATAACTCGATGCAACAGAAACACCAAACACGTGTCAGAAAATCTCTCAAAAGACATAGTGAGTAACAAACAATAATTAGCGACTGACACAAATTTGATGCACGTATATCCGATGTCAGATCATAAATTTATAAGATCCCATATTAGTAATTATTATATTGAAAACCAACGCGACAAGAAGCAATGCAAGATCTATATCGCAAGTGAATATGGGCGGCCTAGCTACATTTCAACCATAAAAATATCAATATTTGAATCAATTTTACGTATTGTACTTGTACAAGCTACACTCAAATCCTATAACATTGTTTTCTTCATTGATTAGCCAACTCCTGCAGACCAAACCTTTATAATATAAAAGTTTAATTAATGAAATACTATGAAATATTTAACTATATATTTATTAACTAATTGATAACCTTATTTAATTGAATTCCTGTTGGAAATTCTTTGGAAATTTACAAAGTATTCTTTTTCTTTTTTGCACATCTATTAACCTTATTCCTCATTAAATGCTTGCGAGGTAATATGCCATATATTTACATATTTTTACATGTTCACCACTGTACAAGATGTTTTTATCTCATATCTTACTATAATGAGGCAAAAATAATCACGGCTTAAATGTAATAAATGTTTACAAATTGTTATCGTACAACAACCAGCGCTTAGCCTTCTGCTTTAATTCTTACAATATATCCATAATCTTTCTTTTTCCTGATCAAATCAGAGTATTCTATCGTTTGTAAGTGAATAACTAATATTAAGTTGTTAGGACGAGTTAGATGAAATACGAGATTACAATGGCGAAAATTATATAGACGTTTTCTACTAAGTAGTAGTAAGTACTAAGTACTACTTCTATACATACCCTGTGCATACCCCATCGTACCCAATAACAAGAGTTTATACCGATATCTTACTACACCGACCGTGATCCCGACGCCTAGCGTTACTTCTCCGTTTCGTTCCGATGCGCTGCACTAGAATACAGAGCAGCGAGAGGACCAATCCTATCGGCAGCACAAGCAGGACTCCCGCCATGGTGTTTACGTCAAGACTCTGGGCGTCTACTGTCATTCTTCTTTGCTGCGAGCATTCGTGCGGTCCGTGTGAGAGAAACTGATAAATCAGTTGCTTCATGAGACCACTTTGCAAGTACCACTGCAGTCCTTTATTAACGCCTTTCTCGTGTTTGCTGCCATTCGGCACGACCCATGAAAGATACTTTGTCTGTATTTTCATCGGAGCAATAGATAGTCTGCAAGTCCCCGTTGACGCATAGTCTGCGCGTAAAATCCCGTACGAGCTTTTTATGTCGTTGAGAAATGCATAGTTTCCGGCGAGCACTAGTTTCAGCGCATCGTCTGCGTGGTTTACAATTGCGCGACTGTCCGCCGACATTTTCTGCCAGATCTTTCCCAGGTCCGATTCTGAAGGCGCTTGCTGAAGGATGTCCGTAATTTCCCGCGCTGCTACTGTGGTCGGCGTCATCGTCGAATTGGTGAACTCGTGGACTGTAGTAAACGGATATAGAATTGACGGCTGAATAGCAAGAAAGCTGACTAGTTTTCCAGAGTAAAGGGCGCAGACAATTAGAACAAAAAGCCACCACGTCGACAGTACTATTCGGGAAGACAGAGCTCGAGGCAAGCTGACTCCGCCCTGCTGTAGAAGAGAACCAAACATGTAGACCATGTAATAGCCGAGGTCGCGCGTAGATTCCGCGTTTTCCTTTAGTTGGCTGTCCCCACGTGACCACATCTCCATAGCCGCCATAATGCCAGCTGTTAGGAGTGAATACGCAAGCACGAACAGCCAAATATATGTGTCAAATGGATCAAAAATATTTAACATTCCCATCTTCTCCTGCGGTCTTTTAATTATGGCAACACAGTAGTTTTCCATAATTGGTGTTAAAAATTGCATCGTGTTGGCTCGGCGACGAGTCTTGACAAAGAGAGAAATGTCTAGGTCGAGCAGACCCCTCCCTACCGCAGAAAGTTCCTCCTGCAGAGAGTTTCTAGTGTGAATTGTAAACGTGAAATTTAGGTGCTTGCTCACATCCTCTAACAATGTCTTTGAAAACAAAAACCACGAATTATCCGGCCAGCGATGGTATCCCACGCTCATATGCAAGCCGTTAAGTTGTTGGATTTCATAGGGAGGCAAAAGGCTTGCGACTTCGTGACTCAGCATCAGCCTGGAGCTGTTAGCGGCAGCCAAAACCACACACGCTGGAGAAGTCGGTCGTGTACCCTTAGTCAGCACACATGTTGATGTCAGTAGAGTGTAGATGAGCAGGTAGCGCAGTGACATGTTGCTCGGCTGCCAATAAGACACTCACTGAGAATGTATTCTCATAGTCGGCGGCT